AGATAGATAGATAGATAGATAGATAGATAGATAGATAGATAGATAGATAGATAGACAGACAGACAGATAGATAGATAGATAGATAGATAGATAGATAGATAGATAGATAGATAGATTATGGATGGAATCAATATAAGAAAGAACGATAAGAAGGTAGACAGACCACGTACAGGTAGATAACATGAATGTAAAGGAGACAGATTAGCTTACTCTTTTGGAACTTAACAATAATTGATTCATATTTTCTCTGCATAATGAGATATTATAAGTACTTATATAAGAAACATCAATTTTTCACTCAGTCATATCGTCACCATAAACAATGATTACCGTACCAAAAAAAAGAAAAGTACACTAAAAGAATCATTATTTGAATTTAAAAAATAACGCCCAACGTGGGGCTCGAACCCACGACCCTGAGATTAAGAGTCTCATGCTCTACCGACTGAGCTAGCCGGGCACTGATTACTCTCAGCGTTATCACAGGCGAATCACGCCTTAGGGGTGGGAGGTTGGCGGGTGCTCTGGTGTGGTTTGCTTCTTCCTTCCTATCAAACATCTATCGTCCTCATCTCCCCTTCTTCTTTTTTATGTTTGTCACTCTCTTGTAACACATTTGATCTTCTGGCACTCATAGATATCTATGACCTTATTGCAGTTGCGAGCGCCGTAAAACCTCTACTAAAACTAAAACACCTTATACGGGGTGCCCACTACAGCTGGATCGGGCCGATCACCCGACTCGATCGCCTGACACTGAAAACAGACACGTTTGTTTTTTAGGTGACGAGTCGGGTGTGATCGGCTCGTGCCACGATAGCCGCTTTGCGCCCCCAACCTGGCTAGCAAACCGACCCGACCCGACCAGATCCGTCCCCTATGGGCACCCCACATACCCCCAAATTCCAATAATAACTTTAATTTCAGTAAGAGTTTTAAGGCATGTGCAACTTAATTAGGCATTTTAAATGCAGAAGATTAGAGGTGTTACTAGAGAGTAACATGGCCCTACAAATTTATTTTTTTAAATGGTGTTATAAGAACGATGGATGTTTAATCACAGGAAAGAAGGAGCAAACCAGAGTAGAGCACCCGCCAACCACCCACAATTTAATTAACAACAACGTTGGTTATAAGTGTGAGAACCGTTATACGGGGTTCCCATTATTGGGGGATGGGATCTGGTGGGAACCTTGGAGTAGCCATGATTTACTTCATAGTCGGGAGTCGGGACGGTGTGCTAGCCAGATTGAGGGCGCAAAGCGGCTATCGTGGCACAAGCCGATCGCGACCGACTCGTCGCTTCAAAAGAAAACGCGTTTGTTTTCAGGCGACGAGTGGGGGTCGTCGCCCCCGACCCATGGATGGCTAACCGATGATCGAGGCTTAACTTATCTACCTGGGAATAGTCACTTCGTTTTATCTATCTATCTATCTATCTATCTATCTATCTATCTATCTATCTATCTATCTAT